CCTCCTGGGACGCAGAGTTCATTTCAGCGCGGGAGTTAGAAGAGAAACATCTCCGTTGTTGAAATTGAGACAACCCTTAATTTGCGCCAAACACAGAAAGTGAATTCTTTTTCACTTACTTTGCTTTATCATCTGCTAATATACCTTTTGTTACACTAGCTAATTAAATATAGTTTAAATTTAAAAACTGTTGTTCTCCCAGCGAAATGTCTCATAAAGGACAAACTATTCACTCAAAAGAAAGAAATATCATGAAAAATGGTGCAAAATATCATCAAATTTATGAAATATTTATTGTTAAAAAAATGCACATAAAGTTTGCGAAATAAATATTTTTGCCAAACGATCACCAAATAGCAACATTGTTCAGGATTACTTACAACCTTCTCCCAAAAATAGCGAAATAGTATCGCCGCATACCACGTGATGAAGGCGGAGCCAAGTGCCAACTCCTGGTGAACGAGCTATAGTTACGATTGAATAATTAAACAAAAATGAATTGAGTTTTTTACCACTTCTTACATTTTCAGTCGCCAGGGGTAACCCTGACTTCACCACTTAATAATATTTATATTAGCTAAAGTAAAAACATTTTGCTTTGCCATCGTTGGGATTCGAACCTATTTCACCTCATTGGAAGGCGAACGCCCTATCCCCTCAGCCTCCATGGCTCCCGGAACAAAAATTGCTGGAGCAAAACGTTTTAAAATAATTAATGCTTAACAAAATATATTTGAAATTGTACGAAATACATTTAGATTCTAAAAATTAGCCAAATAAACTCCTAAAAAATTGAAACGAATAACTTAAAATTTTTAACAGCCTCGTGAAGCACACTGATGCTAATGCTATTGAAACAAGAATATGCTCTCGTTTTGTTTTAAGAATTTGATATGAGGATGTCTCCAATATAGTGTGATGAACAAGTTTTTATGTAAACGACATATATATTCTTAAATGAGAAATGATAAATATTAAAATGTCTTACTTCTTCTGGTTCTTTATCCACCAGTAAATAATCAAAATGGGGTGTATAATGGCCTCCCATTCCATAATTGGCAATCTAAATTGAATAACAAAATTCTATATGCATTATTTAATTTTTCAATCTATTTATACATGCACGTGTCTAAGAAAGCAAATTAAGGATTACATACAAATACAAAGATTTGAATTATTTAAATGATTCTAACTCTTGTATGCATATATATATATTAATACGCCGCTTTTCTACCTAATTTTTTTTCACAATTTTTCAAACTGAATGCACTCTTTTCGAATGCAAAAGGGACCACACAAATTTTTAAATAAAATAAATGCTCTTTGCTTTTAACTAAGATACGATTTTAAGAAGTCATGTCCATGCCCCATTTTCCCTTATCGAATGTTAAATATACTTTAAATGTAGGCTTAATCTCTTTAATAAGGAAGACATGTATTATGGAGATCGAGTGGAAATAAAACAAGTAGTTTTACCTGTACAATTTCTGCATGTTTGTTGTCTACATCAGTGGATAATCCAGTGACAGTCTCTACAAGTTGGTACACCTTTGCCATCAGCGGGTGATCATGAGGACCCACCCATGCATTTTGACTCGTTCTGCTGACAGAAACGACCTCACTCCCTTTACCAGCCTGTACCATCGATCTAGCCAACTACAGAATTAAATGTTTTAATTTAGTACAAGCAAATCCTTATATTAAAAGTCAGTAGTTTTATACTTATTTGAAATCTTTTGAATTTATGACCTCTGAAGTATTCAAAACTATGGTGAAATACACGAATGTTCATTAAGACTTGAGACACCACATATAGAAAAATACAACTACACGCTTCAGAAAGAAGAAAATACAACTATACGGTTCAGTAGTGCATTTTTCACTACCTAATGAACGAAATCTCGTTCTTTTCGAAACTCGTGCATGGATTAATAGTAAACAGTGCGCATGCGTCGTTTCTATGGCGACCGCTGCTGTCTTTCTTTTTATTTTCACTAGCAGGCATTTTTAATGTATTTACACGATAATAATTTAAAGTATTTTTATATTCTTTTTATTATTAACGTGTAATGACTGGCTTGACGGTGATTTTAATATAAATATGAATGCTAAAGAAGGAAAAGTATTTTGTGACGTCTTGAAACACTTACATAGGCAGGATATGAGAATCAATCCGACGACAAACATCAATTGAGACAGTTTTTGCAATGATATGAAATGTTGTGACGTTTAACTGAGTCAATTGGGTATAATATGAAAAAAGCACAACTACTTCCACTTACTAGGAATAACATTTACCTTTTAGTTTAATTAATAAACTGAGTTTTAAATATGCTTACTAAATTCATAAACTTCGGTAAAACAACAATATAAATTATTTCCAAAGGAACTAGACTAATACAATTCCAACCTGGCGAGTAGCGACTTAAAAACAAGACACTTCGTTTGATGCTTTTACTTGTTGCTAGAAATCAGGTTCGCAGAAAATGCTGTTTACTAGTTAAATTTAGTAGGAATAACACGATCTGTGACGTATGCTATAGTATACCCAATCGAGAAAGTAATAGCATTTGACCAATGGGCAACCAGTAATCGTAATAAGGCGATCACAACTTTTTTGTTGATTTTTTATTTATTTATTTTTTTAAATTAATTGATTTATTTTTTAATAAAAAGTACGGATGGAAGTAACGGCAAACGTATTCCGACCTACAGCGTTCCAGCTCTTCGCTGCCAGCACTTTTCAGGCGTTGTTGGATCAATAGATGAGTCTTTGCAGAATAAGAAGCTTCTTCTCGAATGGCCGAATTCAACCCTCCAGGGGATGTAAATGGAAGGGGAAATGTTAAATATGATTTTATTTTTCACTTATTATAAATATTTTTTCCAATTGGAAGTATTGGGTCCGGAATAGCCTTGTTGGCAGGGCACTGGGCCCATGTCCAGGAGGTCTCGGGTTCGATCCCCCACTGGCCGAAGACTCCCCGTGTAGTAAATGGTGACTGATACACGTTAAATCTGTCGAGTCTCAAAGTCCCCCATGTTCCTATAACAAATCATACCTCTGGGGGATACTGATCCAGGAGTTTCCTTGTCTTCTGGATTGGTTCAAAATTTCAAGGCAATGAAGTTGGACATTAGTAGTCGTAAACCCTAAATTGGGTCGGCTGTTCAACGACGGTTATAAAATAAAAGGAAAATTGGAAGTATTTTCGAGACTAGTAAAATATATGGTCGTCGAACAATAAGACGGATGGATAATCTAGAATTTCAAAAAAAATTTCTAATGGAATTATATCGATACAATTCTGCAACCAGTGTTTTCAGCAAAGCAGCTTAGTATTTAGTCTGCTTTTAAATTTCTAAAAAAAAAATATATAAATTTTCAACTTCATCTATTTCGGTTATCGTTTCCCTAAACTAAAATGAAAGTAAATTTTGAAAACTCTAAAAAAAGATAAATGTAGTACACCATTCAATTACGCATTCAAAATTTCTAATCAATATTATTACCGTTAATAAGTAATGATAGTGACAGATAATTTCTACAACATATTTCAATAATAACATTGATAACAGTGATACAAAGAAATAATGTTAAGTTCTTAATCTTTGAAAAAAAAATTACCCTTGGTTCAGCAATTATCTTTAATAAATCTACTTGTGACTCGGTTAGAAGATTATGGAACTGGACGACGTATGGATTGAGTCCTCTTTCTTCTATCCTCAGAGGTTGTAAGAGAAAATATGGATGACGCTGATTATCCAATCGACAGGTTAATTTAGATTCTTCACTATGAGTCTGTAAAGACAAATACAAGATTTTCATAAATTCCATCTAATTTGAAAAATCACGCTCACTTTAAAAAAAATACAAAAGTGTACCATAATTCTGCGAAAAAATTAACACAACATTTATAATAAGATTAAGGTAGCATTTGAGGAATTTTGAAATGCTCTTACTAACAATAATTACAAGGCTGCCAAATCTCTCGGTTTTGTAAGGAGAGTTTCCTTTTATAGTAGTAGTATGTAGACAATGAAAGTTAATTTTAAAATCATTACACATAACTAATTTAAATGAATATATGAAATCTTAACTATATTCCTCTAAAATTCTAAGTGTTTGAAAAATTTAAATAATCCAATTGTAGATTCATCCCGCGCTGGAAAGATCATAAAGACACAGTTCCCTGTAGAACACCGTAGTCAAGCGTCCATGTCTGTGGTCAGTGAATGTATGAGTGACCACTTTGATCAGCCTGTGAAGTGATCGAGTGTTGGCACTATCGGTCCTCGTTAAATTACTTTTTTTTACCGTAAAGGGCGAGCAGGTCATCAGGCTACCAAAGCGGGGAAGCTATCCCTCTACTAGAGGATCGAAATTGTGATGGCATCTCTTCGGATAATCCTCAGGGATGTTTTTCGTACTATTGCCAATAATCCATTGTGCATCTCTAGTGCGATATAAATAAAGTACTACTATTACTACAATTGTAGATCCAATTGTTATATTGTTACTATAACGAAGAATCTTAAACAGAAAGTATACAAAGTGACTACCATGCAATAAGTTAATCAGTGACAAGAAAAGTCACGAGTTAGGAATGAGGCTGCGTGCATGCAGGGTATTTTGTTTAGGTAAAAGTGAAATAATATCTAAAAGCTTCATGCATCTTTCAAACTATGTCATCAGTTTTGACACATAAAATTTAAAAAATATTTACTGCTAAAATTTGATTATTTACATAGAGTTAATGTAGAAGTGTTTTCACATTTTGGTGCAACTCCTGTACCTATGAAATGAATCAGATCGCCCTCAAATATTTCTGTATAACCAATTGCAGCAAAGTAAATCATCATATTTTAAGATTTTGAATTTTTTAAATTCCTGCCTCGATTTATTTTCAATGATATAACAAGCAAAAATGAAGGGTAAAATATTTTCCTCTCGATTCACCTTCCAGTTTCGTGATTTTATTCTGTGGATTAAAATTATCCTCGTGCATGTGCTCTATTAAAATTACAGTTCTATGGTCTTTACCCCTCGAAATATTAGCATATCTAATTCTAATTTAATCTTTATTTACTTAATCTATTATTTTAATTTTTATTTATTTAATCTATTGTAATTTCGGATTTTCTTCTCATGCTCTTTGATATGTCTACAAAAAACCACATGAGTTTATTTTTGTTATTGACTAGTAAACATTTCTGAATTTGATCTTATGAGAAATTATTGAGTTTTTATTTATTTATTTATTATTTTTTTCGTAATGAGTATTTTTACTTTTATTTCATTAAATTCTCTGTTAATTAAACTATTTTTTCTTTCTAATTTTGAAGTATCAGTGAATGAATAATCAATTCAATTGTTAACTTTAGTGGTGGGCAAAGTTATATCCACGTTGTATAATTATATGTAGACAAAGTTGAAATTTGACAAAGTCTTAATAATCTGTTTTGAACTAATATCCTGTAGTGTGCATAATGAGAATTAATTCATACTCTTGAAGTTTAAAACGTATTTTACTCACTCTTAACCTTTCTCCTCTGCACAGAGCCATGTAATTTGCCTGTTCATCATGGACTGAAATGTCTGGACCCAATTTAGGTTTTTGCCGCCCTGCAGCTATGGCAACTCTGGAATGTTGCCCTTTTAATGGATGTCCAAAAGTGTCATAATCAGCCACTAGAAAGACGAATGAACTATAAAAATCTATATTAAATTGTTTTTAATAAAGTTAATATACAATAAAAAAAACTAGTACGTATGTCCATGTAGTATGTATGCCCATAAAAATGTAGTTATGACTAAAAAATAATAATAGTTTTTTCTTTTTACGTTTGGCTAGCTTTTTTCCTTTCGATTTTGTCCACTGAGTTCCGACGGGAACGTTGAAATAATTTCATAGTTCACCTTATCAAAATGTTCTTAACTTCTCATTTGTCAAAATGTTAAGTATTGCTCAACCACCGGCCATCGAAAAGCAACAGCATGCATATTAGGAGTTCACAGTAGTAACACTACAGTGCACTTATTTGGCGCTAATGCTCCAATTTTGGCATTATCTGTTTTTCCCCGAAGTTATAAAATATATAAACTTAATTGGCATTTATTTTGCAAAATTTTGACTTTCTTATAAATCACAATATATTATAAATAATTTTCCTCGCTTCATCTTGTTGAAGGAGGGTTTAAGGGCAATTTGCCTATATCTTTAAATTTAACTTCAAGGTGGAATGCGTAATAGATATACTTTAAATCGATCTAAAGAAATCATTCATATGTGATTAGTTTCAACCACCACTTTCATTTTTTTTCTTCTTCATCAAGGAAGTGTTCTCGTTGCTTCATTCTAATGCATTTACGCTTTTTCCACGTGGAATTGCCTAATAATTGTTATATAAGTCTGCATTATTATTGATTTATATTTTGACAGAATTATTTCGTCTAAGCAGCTTACTATGTCATAGTCATAAAGTTCGAACTGGGAGTCTGAGGTCTCAGGTGGGCCCTTTTCCCATTCATCTTGAAATATAGGATTTTGTGGTGGATCAATAAGGTAACAGGAACACAAATAGGATGAAGAATAGGGAATAAGCGGCACTTAACATTAAATTGCTCGAGAGGAAATTGATAAGTCTGCAGACATAATACAATACATGAAGATTAATAATTGATGAAGAGAGACAAATACTGAATCTATGCAAATGATGACTATATGCAGGTACAGACGACTATTTACATAGGATGTTGAAGGGTCAATATCGCATCACTCGCGAAGCTCGTGTGCTATAGGTCTAAGACTAGCATCTTCTTTAAAATTTTCAAATTTAAAAATATTGTTAAAACTTGACGTCAAGAGCTTTATCAAAAAAGTTTCTGTTGAGCTTTTGAAATATTAACCAAACGAATCGATTTTTAGGTCAGTATGTATCTCAGTATTCCTTTAAAACCAACTGGCCGTGGTAATTCTCCTCGGAATAATATTTTGTAGTGTAGCAAGTTTTTTGAGTTGGTTGTATGTGGCATTATACCAGGCAACCGATACGTATGTCATTACTGGTCTTATCATGGAGCTATATAATAAAATTTAGAGTTTCAGTTGTAGGTGTTCTTGTTTGAGCAGATTCTGTAATTTAATTATTGCAGCATTTGTCTTGTTCTTAACTTGTAGTATGTGATTTGTCCAAGTGAGATGTTTATTTAGAACAAAACCAAGATAAGGGGCTTTTTTCACAGTTGGTATGATTTCAATGAGTAGCACAAGTTGGTTATGATTTTGGGTTATTTTTTCTTTTCATTTGAAGAATTAAAAGCTGTGATTTGAGAGCATTAATCTCAAATTTCCAGTTGAGACAAGCGTCTTCAATAGCATAGATTTTAGACTGCAGTTTCTGAATAGCCAGGTTTGGACCAGAAGATTTGATAATAATTCCTGTGTCATCGCCATAAAATGCCGAGATGCTGACGCACTAGGAAAATCAGAGTTCAGATATTATAGAGTGTCGGACCCAGGATACTACCTTGCCGACTCCCGCCCAAATAGTCTTAGTCGCTAATTTATCTTTATTGTATGAACTGCCTCATCATAAGAAAACATAAAAAATAAAGTCAAAGATCTACAACTTTCTAATTTTCTTGACCTAATTTTAATAGTTCCAAAGGCGACTTATCCTGGCCTGGTAGTACATTAAAATTTCACTTGGAATGATCATGTAAAAAAAGATCGAAAACCAATCAACAGTTGCAATAAATAAGTTTCAAGCTCTAGTCACGTTCAAATCAGAATTAGATCTCGAACTAAAACGATTAATTTATGTTTTGATGATTAGACCAATTGTTTAAAACAAAACTACCAACATGATGAAACATTTCAAAAACGCATTCGAAGAAACTTGTTTCTTTTCAAAATAAAGTTTTGAGAGAAATAACTGAAGCAAGTAGGTTCATACGAAACAAAGACTCATACGAATTAAAGATCTTCCATGAAAACATTCAAGAAGCACAGCACCATATTAGACCAGAAACTTTTTTACAGAACTCTAAGTTACAATATTTATAATAAATTTTGACGATATTTTTCAGTACCAGGACCTAGAAGAAAACAAATACATTGGGCCCTTTAAGGTGGACTTTTTCAACAACATAACAAGACTTTCAAATTTATATATTAAATTCATACATTATTACATTCAGCTTTATAGACAAATTCAAAATTTCAAAAGGGACAACGATATTCTCTCCCATTTAAATTATCTTTTTTATCTATTTTATCTACCTCACTGACCGTTATAGACAGGATGAATGGACAAAGGCTCAGGTATCCAGCTCTTTTTGATAAGTGAAGTGAATGGTTTCCACATTGCTGGGGATAAAGCTAGAAAGAAGTGACTAACTTCCTCTCCTTTTTTTGGTCGATCCGAATTTTGCATGGTAAAAAATGACACCATTTCTAAAAACCTAAGGCATGATCTTTCAATTTGTCATGTAAAATCTTCTAAAACGTATGCTGCTAAGAAGAAAGATTGTTTATTATAGAGTTAATATTAAAGTATATCCATAATTTTGTCCAACTTCTATATATTTCATGATACTACGCTTTACATTAAAAGTGTCAATTTCAAGTAAAAATAAAATGGCAACAATTAGAAAAACAGTAAAAAGTGGTAGCAAAAAAGAAATTTATCAAGCGTGAATGCTTTTTAATATACACTTTAATTCGTGCGATGCAATTTTATTTTTTAAAGTATTAGTCCTGATTAATTTAAAATGAATCCTGCTTATTCCGTTCACAAACAAATTAAAAACACAAGAGTTCTCCACCATTTTTTACTTTTTTCATTGTTGCCACCATGTAAAAGCTCTTACCATCTATATCAGTACGTTCAAACAGTCTATCATGCTAAAAGAGAAGAAAAATATGTCTCAATTTTAATTAATTTCTTATTCAAATAAAAAAAAATTAAAAAAGATCTATATATATATATATAATTATTTAAAGACTGCATATGAAATTGTAAAAAGTCACTTTTTCTTCTCTAAAAGAAGGTGGAAAAAATGCAAAGAATAGTTTCCCGTTTTAGCTATTAGTTTAATTTTGAAAAGTCATGCTTCGAAAATTCCAAACCAAAAAGATTTTTCTTCACAATTCTTTTGACTTGTTGCAGGGTTTCCATGGATTTTAAAATTTGAGGAATTTTTTTTAATATTAAGATACAGCTTTAACGCTTAAAGATCTAAAGACAGAATTTTTTCTTAAAAATGTAGATTCAAAATTTAAAATGCAGTAGCTTCAACAANATTTCGTTCACAAACAAATTAAAAACACAAGAGTTGTCTATCATTTTTTACTTTTTTCATTGTTGCCACCATGTAAAAGCTCTTACCATCTATATCAGTACGTTCAAACAGTCTATCATGCTAAAAGAGAAGAAAAATATGTCTCAATTTTAATTAATTTCTAATTCAAATAAAAATAAAAATGAAAAAATAATATATATATATATATATATTCTTCTCTAAAAGAGGGTGGGAAAAATGCAAGAATAGTTTCCCGTTTTAACTATTAGTTTAATTTTGAAAAGTCATGTTTCGAAAATTCCAAACCAAAAAGATTTTTCTTCTTCACAATTCTTTGAACTTGCTACAGGGTTTCCATGGATTTTAAAATTTGAGGAATTTTTTTATCATTAAGATACAGCTTTAACGCTTAAAGATCTAAAGACAGAATATTTTCATAAAAATGTAGATTCAAAATTTAAAATGCAGTAGCTTCAACAAATATAGATGCATTAAAATAATTACTTCCTAATAACATGTTATAATTTGAAAGATCCGTAGCAACTCCGTTTTGTTCACTTAGAACAATTTAGAATTCGTCCTCTTTTTCTAGAGAAAATCAGATGAGTAAAAGATCCAAAGACAGAATATTTTCATAAAATTAAATTTAATATGCAGCAGCGGCCACAAATGCATTCAAATATCGATGCATTAAATTATTTATTTTCCTAAAATCATGTTATTATTTGTAAGATACGTAGCAATCCCGTGTGTATTGTTTACTCAGAGAAATACTGGATTCCTCTTTTTTTTTTTCTAGAGAAAATGAATGAATTCTCCTTGATTCTCAAACAGACCGAAAATATTTAAAATTTGTGAGACCTGTTAGAACACCGTATTGCTCACCCAGAAAAATGTTGGATCCAGCATTTTTCTGGGGAAAATTATCTTATTTTTTTCATTTACTTTTCTGGATTCATCTATTTTTTCTCGGGAAAATGAATGAATTCTCTTGGTTAAGGTTCTCAAACTAAATAAAAATATTTAGCCAGACAATGCTTCAAAGATCTTTTTTAAACCAGACAATGTTTCAAAGATTTTTTTTTTAAACAACTTCACAATTCTTGTTTGCAAATTCAGCTATTTGCCTCAATTTTATTATTTTGTTCCATTTCCATCGTTTTTTTTCCCACCAGAAATAGTAAAGATATTAGAAATGTCAGTTCTAGAATCTGCCTCGAATATAAGAATCTGCATCGAATCCAGAACCTGCATCTGTAAGAATCTAAAATCTGCATCGAATGTCAAAATGCAGTTCTAGATCGGCATTTTGACATTCTGTGACAGTTAGTGAGAGGTGGACAAATACCCTCAACATTTCCGCACATCGTGATGTAACACTGTACAGTACGGAAAATACAAAAAAAAAAAACTTTTATTTAAAATAAAAATGAATAACTTTTGATTTGATGTTCGGATTTTTATGTTCTAAGACTCACTTTAAATATGGTAATTAATTAGTGCAGACAATATTTTGAGTTACGAAATCAGGAATAAAAACGTAATTAACACGCCTAATAGCTTCTACGAACTATTTAACTGAATTTTCTTAAGAAGCTTACAAATAAATCAGATTTTAAATTCTTACCATATCAACAGCAGAAGTGTAAAAAGCCATCACTTCCGAAACGCCGGCCGTTCTGTTTCCTTCTTGGTGGGCTTTGGTCAAAGCTTCTTCCAGCCATTGTATAGCGTGAGCATAATAGCCGGCGGTAAAAGATTCTTTTCCGAGATATAACAAATCTCTAGCTGTTAAAAAGCGATAACTTTTTTTATTTTGGTACAAGTTGCATAGGTATCTATCTTATTGTATAAGTTGTAACATTGCAAGAGAAGGATTTTTTTCCCTGCATTACTTAAAATTCATACAAAAATACTTATTTACTCTGAAGTTGGCTCGACTTCTCAGGGGGTTTATTCTAAAATTCCGCATCATAAACTGAAACGTATTATCTCCTTCTTCCTACAACTCCCTACGTAGCAGAGAAGTAGGGTCACTTAGTATTCACTCGAGTGAATTTTAAGATAGGAATATGCTATTAAATTTTTTTTTTTAAATTTTGTAAAGAGAAATAGATTGACTGTATTTTGTAAAGAGAAATAGATTGAAGCTTTTTTATGTTAGAGTGAAGTAAGCAATTTTCTTTTTAAATTTTTACTTTACATTGCGATCAGTTAATTATTTTGATCACAAAGTCATTGTAATTTTTTAACATTAAAATTTGATTATTTCAGCTATTTATTTTCATTAAAGTGAAGTCAGAGTATTTTTATAAAATCATTTTAAGTAATGATATTTTACCTGTAAGTATGGTTCCTTGGGCTCTGCCAAGAATTTCCCCTTTGGCAACTTCTGTCATATTTAATTTATAAGTGTCCTGAAGTCGTATCAGCGCCAGCGCTGCTCCTTGGAGATCATCACGACTTGGCATCAATTGCTTATAATCATTTGTCAATTTTCGTACAGCTTAGAAATAAAACAGATGTTTAAAGTTTGAAGGAAAAAAATTGCTAATAAGGCTAGAATATTTCAACATGCAGCATTTATTAAAATGTAAGAGAATGGACTTATTTTTGAAGACGTTTGATTCGATCTGAAGATAAAATATATTTAAGGCTCTTGGTTACACAGCCAAATAGTAATTTTTTTTTCTCTTTTTCTCTTAAATATTAATTTGTGGCAGTTTTGTGAAAAGGAAAAGTGTTTGTGGCCCAAATTTTCAATATTTAAAAACTTACTCCAATACTGCATTACCTTGGCTTGTAAAAATTTGCAAAAACTGTGAATAAGGCAGTGATTTTGATAAATTTCATCTAGGTTGAAAAATGTCGCCAAATTGGCGATTTTCAAAAAAGTTTAATAAATTTTAAAATATTTAAGTAATTTATCTGTTCCATAGCCCAGATCATTCCTCACGGCTAGAAATAATATAGATTAAAATGATCATATTGCTTTAAGTGTATCCATCAATTTTCATCTAAGTGGAAAAATATCGCCAAATTGGCGATTTTTAAAAAAGTTAAATAACTTTTAAAATATTTAAGTTATTTGTCTGTTCTAAAGTTCAGATAATTCTTCACTGCAAGATTATATACATAGCTTAAAATCATCGCATTGCTTCAAGTGTAAGGCACTTAAACTGAGGCTTTTTTTGTTGTTTTGTTTGGTGACAGAGCCCCAAAAAACAGCGTTAGTTTTGAGTGCTAGAGAGTTTATCACTTTGAGCACAGTTTGCTATTTTGTATGATATAACTTTCAGGGCATTGATTGACAGTCAGTGCCCAGACGAAAAATCAGGCCGTCGAAAGAAAATTTACCGTCTACATTAACTTGCTAACATAAATAGGTTGCTTCACTTTCCAGTAGGATAGGACAATTATAACAAGTGATGATTATTTTCTGCAACCGATCGATTCTAAAAGTATTGATTACCTTTAAACCAAGTGTTCTTTAAAAGTGAGACACAAAAATAACTTTTGATTTCATGATCGGATTGCTATGTTTTACCTTCTTTATAGTTTAAGGTTGGACTTAAATTGATGAAGGCTAAAGAAATTTCAAACTACATTTTCAAAGACATGATAGTAATTTTACTTGGATTTGTTTTTCTTTTTTAAGTATGACAGGATTGTTAACTTGTTAAATTGAAACTAAAGGGACTAGAATCGGAATCGATTGTATTCTTTCATAGTTAAACGATATTACGTAGTCTAGGCAAGCTCGTCAAGCAGAGCTACAAAAAAAATCTATAAGAAAATAATAATAAAAAAAGAAACTTTTAAGCATGTCGGGATTGTGGTACCCGTGATTTTTGAACCAGTCGGACCACTTAATTGACCTTAATCACGGAGTTATTTTTCCGTAGAAAAGCAGATAGTCTTCGCGTTTTTCGTCACGTAATGCCACTAAAATACAAAATAAAACATTTAATTAATAATGCCGACATTTAAAAATAAATTCTAAAAAGAAGGAGTTGCTCATACATTTAAAAAAAAATATTATACAAGAAATAGAGAAATTGAACTTTTCCCCAAGTCTTCAAAAATTTTCCAAACCACCAAAGTCGAAATCCGTAGAAATTATGTACAATTCTTAGTAGTTAATATCACTATAATGATGATGCTTTTGAAATTATAAGATTAATTTGCCTTACGGTTCCAATCGTCAGATTGCATAGCATTACGAACGAATCCCCAATCGACAGCAAGCCGCCTGATGAGTTGAAAAGCTTGAAGGGGGTTACCAACCATTTCATCCTCTCCACTAGAGACAGGAACTTTTTCTTCTAGAACCTCTTGGTAAGATTCATAAAATAAATTTAAATACCTGAAAATTAAACCAAAGAAAGTACTATGAATCTTTTCAGTTTATATGAATGAAAAAAAAGACAGTTAATCAAAGACTGCTCACGAACAGGTATTGCTATTGTGTCATTGATGATATATTTGTCGAGATTGTTTTCGAAAAAGTATTGGCTCTCTGACAAATCAGTTCATACGTTGATACCTTATACTATACCTTTCAACAACAACGGAATTTTCGTAGCTTCAGAAAATATTTTTTATATTTGTAGCAAAGACAATGTAACTAATATTGTAATATTAGAATTGAACAAATTTTTATCTAATCACTTCATAATTATATTAAAACATTGATAAAATGGACAAATGAACGAGAAGATTAATAGAAAAATGGACAAATTAATTAAAAAGTAATACAACAAAATATAGAAAATAATGCATTACATTCAAAATAACACATTAAAAGATAAACTTAGCTACCTTTAGAATAATTTTTTACAAAAAGCGAAGAAAGTTGGCAGCGCTGAGTTAGTATTACAGGGCTGCCAGTATTTTACGCTCTCTGTAAGAATTTATCCTAGTGGTAGTAGAAATATTTATGCTTAAATGTATTATTTTTAATTCATTTAAACTTATTTTCCACACCACTACACATAAATGATTTAAAAGTTCATAAGCAACACCACTTTGTCCCAGCTTTATCTACAGCACAAAAGATAAAAGCGAAAAGCAAAGATCCTCTTCATCCAACCCAAGAATCCAGCTCTTTCTTGGTGAAACTTTTAAAATATTGGCAAAATTACCAAACAATTTTGAAAGCTTCGATTTGTAAAAGTCTACCGTTCTGAAAAATATTTTGCAAAAGCGCAGTAGTTAACAGGCCTGGTATTAAAACTAAGGTTTAAATCTTTGCATCATTACTATTAACAACGTAATTGTTAACCCACGCAAGGCAGCTAACTTTCTACGCTTTTTGTAAAAATTTATTATTGTGGTAGCTAAGTATATGCTTCAATGTCTTATTTTTTATTCATTCAAACTTATTTTCCATACCGCTACACATAAATGATTTAAAAATTCATATGCAACTCGACTTTGTAACAGCTACAGAGATGCCAACTGCTCCGGACACGCAAAAATAATTTTTAAAAAAAACGGTACATAACTGAAAAGTAAATTTTCCAAATATTTGACTTTTTTTGCTTGCTTTTTACAAGGTATAGCATTACATAAGTACTTTGACTTCATATAAATTGTAGCAGAGTACCTGCCCGCGAAGCGTGCATCTCACTCCTTCATCTGATGATATAAAAATTTAGACTAAACTGCTTGGCAAAGAAAAAGATTAGAGTGTTGGCTGTGAAGCCTCTGTTAAATACAGTCAAATCTGAGTATACATAAGAACTATAAAGTGGTGAATTATGTAAGCCTACTAATTATTTAGAAATAGTGGTGGATAAACATCCACTAAATTGAAGTTATTGAACCAAGAATCACAATTGATAAACTACCACTTTGAAATATATACTTGCTGTCCGGAGCAAGTTAGCATCTCTGCAGCTAATTCGCACCAGTTTATGACTTTAATAATGACTTTCTATTCATATTTCATATTAGTGCAGACGAATCGTTCAGTGGCGCTTCGCCACTGAAGATATCCAGCACGAGTAGCAGCTAATTCGCGGTGAGGCCTTTAAAACGTTGGCAAAATCACCAAACATTCTTAAAGCTTTGATTTTTAAATGTCTACCATTCTGTAAAATATTTTACAAAAAGCATAATGCTTGGCACTGATAATCTGGTTTTAACAGTGATGCCATAACACCTAGGCATCATGATGAAACCGTTACAATCTTGCTTTTTTCCCCACTGTCTCAGAAATTGAGTGACTATGTTAGCTATGAATACCAACCTTCTAACTTCATTGAGCTTTGTTTCAGTTCTTTCTACATATTCGTGGAGTGTTGTCACTAGGTGCCTCTCCAGGTGCAAAAGATTTTGTAGGTGAGCCGTGGAAGAAAATATATCTGCCTGTACTGTTGATACCAGTATCATGGTTACTATGAATTGTCTCATCCTGAAACATAAAACGCTTTGTAATTTTATTCTAAATTAAAAAACAAAAGAAATCTTTCAAATATAGTATTATAATTTAGTGAGATAAATAATTTTAAATAACAAGCAAAATATCTTGTCTGGTGTTGTTTCATTTTGTTCTTTGCATAGTTATTGCACACAGGTTGGTTACATTGCATGATAGTTGGTTGGTTTTCTTTTATTGAAAATATTAAAGTAATCTTATTATTTATTTAAAAATAAATATCTTATTTTACCACTTTTTTAAGAATAAAATATGTTAATAATATATCGTATTAGAATCAATCTGTTTATACCATCTGAGAGTTCAGTGAGAAGGAAAGAACCTTCATGTGATCCTGATCGGGAGTTCTACTTATCCTCACATTTAATTAGCCAGACACTGAGTATAACTTACGTCGTCCAAAGTTTCTGCAATTTCTCTTGTATTGGAACAGGTACTTGAAGGAGTGGAGTGTCCGCTTCACGGACAAGTATTCCGAACACACCATCAGTCTAACCACACTGTTTATAATTTACTTATATTAATTCCTCAAGCAAGACGCTCGGTGGCTGAGTGAAAGCACACAGGTCCTGGGCTCGATCCTTGGGCCGGGCAAGGTTAGCTCAGCCTTTCATCCGTTCAGTGGGTAGATAAATGAGTATCACTGGGGGTTTCGCTTTCGGCTGACCATTTAACAGAAACATCTGCTCCTGCACCCCAGAGTCCAAGGTCAAGAAAACTGAGATGAGCCCAGTAAGCCTTAAGTTTAGTTTAATTCCTCAAGCAAAGTAAAGATTTTAAGTATGCTACTTCTTATTATCTCCAATTATTTAAATTTCCTTGAGCAAAGTGCTTGAAGTGCTCCAGCAACCACACGGACAGTTCACCTCATAGTGTTAAAACAAATTCAATACGGATGGGATAGTGGCAGCTTCGCGGCCCAGGCTATCTATAAGAACCGATTTAAAATTAGAAGATATAAACTTCTTCATGGACAAACTCAACTCTAAATTTTATGAAAACGTATACGATTGCATTGCAAGTGACTTCAACCTATTGCTAAATATTGATCTTATAGATGACAACACCAAATATAGCCCAGTAACAGCGTTCTTCCTGAGGTGATACAGGCGTATTCCTTTTCCCCAAACTATCACTCCATCAATTTAAACTCAAATAAACACTCACAGTTTAAAACGCGACAACTTATCGGTACCACGGTATGCCAGCAACCCAAATGGGTCACAGCAACACCTCCTAGAAGAACGAAGGCCTCAGCTCGGATCAATTTAGTAGTCCGACTTGACGAACATAAACTGCGCAGTCGATTAAAAAGAAGAAAGATGTCGCTACGTTTGGGCTGCTAAGTTGCGTAGTGGTGAAAAATACGAAAGATGTCATTACGTTTGGACTACTAAAGGATCAAATTTCTTGTTTATGGTAACCCGTGCTAAGGCCTACAAAATTTTGAGTAAACATGCAAACATCACATCAATAATAAATAGGAATGTACCGACAATACTTCGATCCGTTATCCGATATCGTTATCTCAAATGAAACAAGCGATAAACAACTGTTGCCGATAAGCAATAATAGAAAGAACAAACGGAGAATGTCAATTGATGTCAGATTTTGAAGGTTTCAGTTGCTTAGTTCGAGTGTTGAAAAATTAAATACTAGAATATTTCAAAAATATATACTATCTCATGTTTTTTCTTATAATTGCATTGCTTCCTAAGTGCAGAGATGCCAAAATAAGTAAAACTGTAAGTAACTACTAGGTAAATTTTGCAAACAATAAGTGGTGAATTATATAAGCCTACGAATTATTTAGAAATAGTGGTGCATAAAAATCCACTTAATTGAATTTATTAAATCAAGAATCACAATATTACCACTTTAAAATATATATTTGCTGTCCGGAGAAAGTTGGCATCTGTGTAAAGTGCTGTTATATGTATTCGTTCATGGGTCAAATTGACGCGTGTTCTTAGAGAAAGGTATATAAGAAACGTCCGTAAACCTAGTGTTAATAAGTGAAACGAAGTGTATCGAACGAGATATTAACTTACCTACTCTTGATATCTTTTGTAAATAAAAAGTTTATTAAATTTTTTTAATCATGTTCTTATATTTTACTATACATTAACTCAATTTAATTTTACGTTTTCTAACGTAACTTAGTTTTTAATTTCTCACCTCAAAGTTACATTTCCGATCCCTTTGTTTCGAATCATTTTAGGTGAAATGGGCAGATAACCTCTAAAGTTATATACTTGGAAAATCAATTCACAAAAGTTTTACTAATATTACGAGATAGCAATGTTAAGGTTAAGCGTAACTTATAAAAGCATTATCATAAATAAATAATAAACGGTTCTTAAAAAAATTATAAAAACAAAAAAGCCGTACATTTCTTTTTGTCAACTTTTACTTTGAAATCAAAAAATACAGAGCACGAGACTTTTCAGCTAGATATATTATTTGGCGTGGTTGTGAATATTAATTCATTAAAGTACATTTTATGTTCTTTTTTTTGCTACCACTTTTTTAAGTTTTTCATGAACTGTACAAAGCCTGAATAATCCGCCAAAAATGAAGAAAAATAAAAATATTTTTTAGTAGGTAATTGCAATCTTTTAGCTAACATTTTAATTTTTAAAATTTATCAGAAAAAAATGCTTAATTTTAATTTAATTTCTTATTATATATAATTGCCGGATTGCAGGCGTGCAAACTATTACTCGATCCGAGGAAGAATTTCTCAAGTATCTGTGAAAGACTGAATGAAATGCAATTATAGATAAAACTGTTTTTAATTGTTATGGCATACACTCGTCTTCACTTTATAACCAGAGATGCCAACTTGCTCCGGACAACAAATATATATTTTAAAGTGGTACTTTATCAATTGTGATTCTTGGTTTAATAAATTCAATGTAGTAGATTTTTATCCACCACTATTTCTGAACAATTCGTAGACTTATATAATTCACCACTTTATAGCACTTCATGCTATACCTCTTAACAAGCAGGCAAAAATAGTCAAATATTTGCAAAATTTCTTTTGTAGTTATTTACCGTTTTTTTAATTATTTTGACGTGTCCGGAGCAGTTGGCATCTCTGTATAACTGGCTTTATATATAAGACTCGTTTATTTGCATTTGGTGGTAGTCAAAATCATACCAAATTAAATTTATAAATTCAAGAATTAAAAAGAAGTTGATAAAAATTTTAAATATGAAAATGAAATACTGTGGATATTCCGTAAGCTTATGTCAACTACGAAATGGAGTCAAATTTCTTATTTTTAAGGATGATGAATTGGAGAGCTTAGTAGTCGAGATGTATACATTTAGAAAGGATGGGTAAATCGTGATAAAATACAAATACAAATCGTGATAAAAAGAGTGGTGACAAAATCTGATGAGGCTGTCTAAAATTTTATAGTTTTTAATTTTACGAATACTATTTGTTAGTTTAAGCATTGACATATTTACAGACATTTTTAGGTAGATAGGATTAATCGATTAGTCAAAATACTTTGTTTCATCTATTACACTGCAGAACAATTTTCTTTTGTTACATATGATTTTGAAGATATTTTCTCATCGTTGTTTTTAAATCTACTATCAGTTTCGCCCTAAAAGCTATAGTTTTTATGCAATTTAGTAATATACTCCTAAACAAGATTTTTTTTAAATTCACTCGAGTGAATACTAAATGACCCCACTTCTCTGCTACGTAAAGAATGGTGGGAAGAAGTCGATAATACTGTGATTTCTGATACGGTGCGAAAGGAGTTGACAAGCGTGCATGTATATGCATGCATATAAACCTATACGTTAGACAAAAAATAAAATAAACAATAGCCTTTCGAAAAGAAAAAAAAAACTTTAGCCTTCGAGCAATACTAATTTCAGATTTGAAATCTTCGCACCAAAACTGGGTTAGATCAAGCACTTCTCTAAATGCAGCAAAAAATCTGTTCCCTAGTGTTGTCTTTCGATAATCGAGGTGTCGCCGATTATCTTGATTTGTAATATGTATAGTTAGACAGGATGTGTGGTAGGCAGTTACTTTATTTACTTCGCTCTAGAGCCGCACAATGGGCTGTTGAAGACGGTCTGAGAAACATCCCTGAGGATGATCTGAAGACATGCCATCTTGCTGGTATGGGCAGGTAGCATAAGTAACAACAACAACAACTCATATTTCCAGACATAAATATTAACATTTATATTAAAATTTTTCAAAATAAAAATAAAAAAACTTAATACGAGTAGGATAAAAACCGTTCCCTATTTGAAATTTTGTAAGTCTTGTATCCAAGTAAAATTACTTCTCATTTATCTTTCCTTATTGAGTAGCACAATCTGTATTCCTTAGGTTTAATTTTTTTTACCGTTGATTATTTTTCAAGTCCAGGTAATCGTCGATGTAGTAAGGATAAACATAATGAAAAACTGTTATAAATCAAACTACAATAGTTGTATATTTTGAAAACAAAACTTGCTATGTTTCTTTTATGGAAAAGTTCGATATTTAAAGGGGAAAAAAACAATGATGAATGAGAAACAATTAGTGAACGGAGTCTCCAACTAAAATGAAACCATTTATTTTAAAATATGGAGAACGTAAAATTGAATTTATCATAATTAGTTGTAATAATAAGCAGGTAATTAGTTGTAAGAAACACATATAAAGTTAATTATAAATTACAATTCCAGTTTACGAACCTGTTCACCATTCTACGAAAGTTTCTTTAATAATAAATCCTCCCTCAGTTTCATCTGAAAATAAAATAATTTTATATCTTAATATGTTGCATTCGAAGTGAAAAAAATAAGAAACAATTATTACTTTTTATTTTAAATGTAAGCACAATAACTAAAACAATTATACATGCCATTTCATGACCTTTTTGATTCAAAGGAATATAATTTGGAAAATATTCATACATAAAGTAATACAAAGTTATATCTTTTTAATATTGATGCATAATAGCAATTCAATAGGGCAAACGTAACTAATTTTTATTGTTTTAACATAGTTCAAGAGCAAATAATGATTTTTTTTCCAACACCGGTTTTATATTTGCGTGTTTTTAAACAAAAGAAAAACAACAAATTTAAAAAAAAAATAAATAAACTAAGCATAATCGAAAATCAAATATCACATCAATAGCTAAATTTTTTTCTAAGAACTATCTACCATGCCTATGTGATCAGGGGCGTGACTGTAGTCTCTTCTGTAATTTAATTTACTCATCTGTAGTTTTTGTCTTCACTGATTTGCTACAGAAGCCTATTCCTATACTCTGTTGCAAGTTAAGAAAAAACCACTATACTTATGGAGAGAGCCTGTTTGGATCTAAGTGCACGCCAAATGGATGCTAAGATCCCAGCGCGAATGTAAATCAACATCGCCAATTCTGAGCCATTGCGCAGTCTTCTTTTTGCTTGCTTTCTTAAATTGTGTGAATTGGGGAAAATAAAACTTATTGAATAAAAATTGTTTTTTATTACTAAGAATTATGCAAAATTACACCTAAAAATCAAAACAAATGTGCGACTTTCTGATCGTATTTAAAGAAACAGATGAGAGAATAAAAAATAATATTATAATGATAAATATAAATATTGTATTCTTGCAGACGATTTTCTTTCTTGCAGACGATTTGTAGACGAATTTGCAGACGAAACTGATGAGATTCTTGCAGACGATTTGCAGACGAAACAAAAGTTAAAAAAAAAAAAATTCTTTACCACGCATTTGATTTGTTAAGGGCATGTCAGCATGAGACATGCCATTTTTAGTGCTCCAATCAAATCTAATGCTCTTGCAACGTCATGTAGTTGTATATTTTTCAAAAGCGAATATTCTCCTTATTTATCAAAGTGTATCAACAAGTTTAGAATTCTAGTAAGATTACGAAACTATAGCCTTTTTTCAATAATTCTACGATTATATATCATCTGTTTATAAATTTCTGTCGGTCGCGTTTAACTTTTAAAAGCTTTTATATTGTTTTGAGAGCATATTTATATAATTTGATAACGAAATCAAACGGAACTATATGCAGTCGCGGATGATTACTTAAATCCTATACCACAATGGTCTTTTCTTAACTTGCAACGAAGCATGAAGTTACTAATTTCCTGGGAATGAAAAAAAAAAATTGCAAGACTCTTTTCAAAAACCTAATTAAGGAAATAAGAGAAAAAAAGGTAAAAGGAAAAAAATGCTAGTACAAATATTTCTTCTTAATGACACGTAATATCAAACTGGATATGCATTATACCGGCCATTTATGGTCCAAAAATGCATTTGTAAATACAAAAACAATAGAAGGAAGATTTAGTGGAAACTTAAAATTAAAAACTTTAAAAACGTGTCGATTTTCTTGTATATATTTCCCTTTATTTAATTTTCAGATTAAAAGAAAAAAATATTATCGATGGAAAATTTCCTTAGGGACAAGCATTATCATTACTGACACATGTCATCATATGTCAGCTATAGTCCTTAACCCAAATTGAGATTACTTTAATTATGACTTAATAAGATTTAAGTTCCATCGAGAAATATGCTAACTCTTCAATGTTTTTTTTTTCCTTCTAAAAAATAAAATGATAAAAAGATTGCTTAACCACTTACGAATAAGATTATTCGAAAGCTGTTTTTTTCTGGAATAGTTAAATAGATAGTTAAAAACCAAAACAACATGCGAACAAGAAAATTGCTTAAGCATACGTAAAAACCATTTCGACCTTATTTCCTCTATAATCATCTCCGATCAAAAGGTTAAATTTAAATACCTTAACCCTATAGGAACATAGATGTGAAGAACTTTCTTAATAGCCCCTGGAAGCAGAAAGGGAAGAAGGGTTGAAAATGTCAAATCGTGAAGAGGGGGTGGTCAAGGAAGAGAAGAAAACCTGCTGGCCTTGAGAGAAAACGAAGAGCGCATGTTTGCACATTATCTTATTTTAGTGGAGGAAGAACTTGTGCCTAGCTTGGAGAATGAGGTTGATGAGACAAGTGTTTAACTTCCAACTACACGAAGAAATATAGGAATGACCATTGCTCTAAAAATTGATTGGCAGTAAGTGGCAGATATTTAGGTTTTGGGGAAAAACACAACGAGTTGAAGAGGTTTGTATTGAATATTCAATACCAAATCCTGACCTATGTGTAGGAAATCTTATTCTTGATTCATCAAAATTTTATGAAGATTAGTAAATTATTATACGATACTTTATAATTTCATTACAGTTTTTTTAAAATAATAATAATAATAAAAATTAAATTCTAATAAATATCATATAAAGTGAAAAAACAACACTTTTTTTTATAAAAGAATTAATAAGTAAGTTATTTTTATTTTATTGAAAATATAATTTATTATTTTCTGTTATTATAATTACTAAATTATTGTTAGTAGTACAGTGTTCCCACCGTCTGTTTAGATACGCGAGGTCACGGAGTACGGATCTTTTAAAATCTAAGTTAAGCTCTATGCTGGATGATAACACAAGCTACAATTGTAGGGATGCCAAGGGCGAATTAAAATGTAAGTGGTGACTAATAAAAAGCAGAAATCTATTAAAAGAGATTAAAATTAGCAACTTTTTCTGTCATATTTTATTCCGTTTGCTATTTAAGGTGAATGCAAAGAATTTTTTCACTTTAAATATGAATAACTTTTATCGTAAGTCATGGTAGTAAAATTAATTAAATGAAAATTAATCGAGTTTCCTTTATTAAGAAATATTTCCTTTAAATATGCGCAATTGGCATGCTGGTATTGTTAATGATTAGGATTATCACCACTAACCACAGTTCATCATTATCATTTGCATGAGAAATGAGTTCATAATTTAAACTAATCCATTGAGTACTGATCATAATACAGTTTTTTGCGCATTTGAGTTAGAACACATTCGATAACACTTCAACTTAGCTTGTTTCTAAAACAGGTTATTTATTATTTATACCCAAAAGGATTTAATTGTTCACAAGGATCCAGAAGATTCAATTTCCCATAAATCCGTATATGAGATGTTGCCTACCTTGGCCGAAGACATACAGACTACGTAAGCAGGTAGATAATTTGGAACGTGAGACCAGTAGGGTCATGACATTTTTGAATAAAGAGATTTCTTAGCAGCCTCTCTCATAATACACACAACCATTGTTTAGAATACTAAATTAAAAAGAAGATTAAAGAAGATCTTAAACAAAATTCAAATGATTAATGGTGATATTCATAGCAAAATCTAGTTCGCAATATTCTGTGCAAAACACGAATCTAATAATAAAGTTAAACAGTGCGTATTGTATTGAATCAAAGTTTGTTTTAGTGTCCCTTGTTTCGAGGAGTGTTTTTTTCTCATTGTCTGTGCATGAACCAAAGCAATAAGATGATTTTTTGCTAGCATTTATTAGAAAGTATTTTATTAATATTTTTCATTAATTCGAATATTTAATATTCTTTTTTGTTGATTGAGTCATTGAATTTATAATAATTAGTGATTGCATAAATTATTAGTAATTATTGAATTTATAACTTTGTCATTGAAATAAGGCCTGTTGCTGCTTCCGAATCGAACTTGGATAAAAAATCGGCAACGCTTTCTTCCACAAACAATAAAAAGTTCGTTTATTTAATGTTTCAAAGGTGGCAAAGTTTGGTTTGATTTTTAATATTCCTCTGATATAACACATATCTTTTTTACTGCTTAATTTTATTCCCAATTCCCCCTCCCAACCTAATTCTGAGTTTACAACTACCAATGTTCAACATCGCATCTTTGTAATTTTGAACCCAACCTAGAAGACAAGATGAAGGTATTATATACCATGCTATGTTCGACTAAATATTTGATTCCCCGTGTATTAAATGATGACTGGTGCACGTTAAACCTGTTGGGGTCACAAAGTTCCTATAACAAATTTCAATACCTCTGGTGGTACTGATCCTGGAGTTCCCCCTTCTTCTCGATGGGGCTCAAAATTACAAGGCTAAGGAGTTGAACATTGGTAGTCGTAAACTCGAATTTGGGTCTGCTGTTTAACGACGGTTATAAAATATTTGATTCGTTAACAAGCAGATCAGCCGTTCACCAAAGGCGGCTAATAAAATATTATTTTATAAATGCTTCATAATAAATTCAAAAGCTTACCTAGTCTTTTGATTGGACGAGCCAGTTTACAAACTTGGGGAGTTTCTGTCTTTGTAAATCAATATGTAAGTAATTATGTTTAATTTATTATCGTTTTTATTTGATCGTTATTATTTTTTATTTATTTATTTATTTATTATTATTTTTTTTTTTTGCATAACAAGAAGTAGGAAACAACTCAAACCTTAGAAATAATTACAGTTCAGCCTATTAGCAAAGAAAAACACTTTGTATATATGTACGACATCTACGAACGGTGACATAGCACAATATTTTAGGTTAATTGAAACTGATTAAAAAATACAGGGTCTGGTTCATTTCATCGACAATCACTTCATCGACAGGCCATTTCATCGACACCACTTCTACAAAATGGTGACTGTTACACA